CAGTAGAATGCCAAAGAATTAGGATTTTTTTTTAAATGATTACTGCAGTGTCAATTCCTGTCCTCACAATTCTTTCAAACTTTCCTTTTTGGTCTAAAATTCTATTTTGGAAATAAAAAAGGTTTACTGCTATAAATGCTCCTTAAAAATGGGGCTGTTTAAAAGCTGTTCCATTCTTATACTAAAATGTGAAGCTTTTCCATGTAATCTCATGTGATTGTTGACCTATATGGATTAAAATAGCCTGTTTTTAATCTATGACCAAATTTGGAATTAGAGTATCTGCCCACTGGGAGTTTGTAAATTATTGTAGTTTATAGAGTGATAGGTTTATATAAATATTACAGTGATTCCCACTGCATGTTTTAAATTAAAACCCACTTTTGCAAGTACAGAAAAGTAATAAAAGTACCAACAGTGTATTTTCTAAGGAATTTATTTCAGTGTATTTTATATCTATATGGTATGTTAGTTTCTCAAGTCTTTTGCATACATGCCCTTTTAACGAAGATCTTTTATATTCTGTATATAAGCAGGTCACTCTAGATGCAGAATTTCTGCATTCCAGTAGCTGTTTGATATTTGTTTTGAATGAAAGCTTTCAATATTGAAACGGTTTGTTTCTCAGCTCGATCCTACAGTGAAGTTCTTGTACAGTATGGCATTTTTCTGTTACCATGGTGATGAAAGTGAGGTCATGGTTTCAGAATAAAGATTTCCAATAAGAAGATGAGCAAGTCCTTGTCTTAAACATACCTTTTAAGAAGCATCAGGTGTTGCAGGAACAATTATGAGTAAATGAATTGTACATTTGATTTTTGTGTTTAAATCCAATATGCTTGAAAGATTTTCTTAATATGGATGTTTTAATATTACTTCTGGGTGAATTCTTCACACAGTAGTTTAGAATTCTGCAAAACTCTGTGTATTTTATTTGTCAAAATAATACAATATAATCATACAAGTTTCAATTATTTTGTTAATATATTTAAAAATACCTCTCAATAAGTATATCTGTAACAATACAGACTACAGAAAGATTCAGGAAATACTATTTTGAAAAATAAATTCCTAACTAGGCATATTAATATAGAACTTTGTGTAATTCATTTGAACTACATCGCCATTTCTCCTGGCATTCTCTGTCCTCGTGTGGCTTTGCATCCCCCTGCCAATTGAGTCCCAGGCTCAATGTTGTTTTCCCCCCACTAGCTCCTGTGTCCTCAGTAGCCCTTCTGAACCCCATTGTGTGACTTCTCCAGGAATTCCATGTGCCCTGCTATGTCTAACCCCCCTGACCCTGTGAACTGTGTTCTGCAAGGAAGGCAGTCTCTGTCTTCCCTCTTACCACATCTGGCTGCTCCAGGCCATGAGCCAGCTGTCCTCGCTTTTGGGACCACATCAGGCCCCAGGGGGCAAAAGGTGTAAATGTAGCATGACTCCTTTTGTTGCTTTCCTTTGGCTCCCCAGTGGAATCAGAGATAATGTGCAGGGAATATTAATTCTGAACTTGAACAATGACACAGGTGTATAATTTATAGTTCTGTAATTACCTGTATAGAAAGACACTGACAGTTTTATTAATGAATTGCTATACTGGTTTAATGCTTTATATTTTTTCTCTTTATACAAGATAAAGATATACTTAGTAAAATCAGGGATTTGCGAATGAAAGCTGAAGATTATGAAGTGGTGAAGGTGATTGGCAGAGGTGCATTTGGGGAAGTTCAGTTGGTAGGTTGTATTTCAATGTGTAAATAGATTTGGATATTACTTTGTGCTAGAGTGCCACTTACCTTTTTATTTTTAATAAGATACAGGTTGAGCCTCTCTAGTCCCAGCACCCTTGGGACTTGATGGGTTCCAAACCAGAGAATTTTCTGGACCACGGGAGGTCAATATTGTCTAGCAGCATTACCAACACTTCCACTGCTTAGTGGGCTGTTAGAGGATGTTTATGGGTAAATGAGGGGTATATAAAGTACAGAACATGGAGAACTAGGACTAGTGGCTGTAAACAAATTTTATGGGACTATGGGAAACTTGGTCACACCCATGAAAAGTGGACATCTGGCTTACTAAAATCATTCCGGACCATGGATGTTTCCGGATGAGAGTTCTGAACTAGAGAGGTTCAACCCGTATTTTAAAAATTACCTTAATCTTGTTATATAGGAGCTGTAAGCCTCATGAGCATTTTATTCTCAGAAAGTTTTCTATTATCATAACTTTTAATATACATGCATAAAAGCTGAAAGTGCGTGTTCCCTACCCAGAGGCTGAGTACCTCTCCGTAGTCCTGGTCACTGCAACTCTGTGAATTTGTGAAGCAGTTCTTGTGCTGGTGTAAATTGTCATAAGCTGATGTCAGTATGTTCTGACAATTTGCATCATCTGAGGAGCTGCTTCTAAGACCTGAACAGAGATTTTCCATTTATAATATTTTTGTGTGTTGTGAGTTCACAACCATTCTTGAATTGAATCATTTAGATGGGTAGCTAATGGATGAAATGTTAAATAAAGAAAATGTGCTCTTCAAAATCTTGATTTTCTTTTTACATTATTTAACAAAAATATCTACCCTTTTATTAAAAATAAATGCAAATTATGGAGCAATTATTTTGTACGTAGATCTTTTAAATATTTTAGCAAATGTTTTGGTAATCATATTGTAGTAAGAAACTGCAATTGTATACCATGTTCAGCAATATAATAATTATTTTTACCAAATAATAGCTAAGAATTGGATAAAATTGGTTAATTAAGGAAAAATGGGCAAAGCAGAAAAAATATTGAATTAAATATTTTAATCGATTGTCAGTATGAAAAAAACCTATTTTTATATCTTAATTTTATCTTCAAAGGTAAGGCATAAATCATCAAGGAAGGTGTATGCTATGAAACTTCTGAGCAAGTTTGAGATGATAAAGAGATCAGATTCTGCATTCTTTTGGGAAGAAAGAGACATTATGGCTTTTGCTAATAGCCCCTGGGTTGTTCAGGTATTGATACTACTGTTAGTATTTTTTTTATTATAGCCAGGTGATTTTGTTATATCACTGGATAGATTTCATTGTAATTAAAGCATTATATAATTGTTCAGTTCTAGCTTTGTTTCCTAAACAACTTACAAAACTGCCTTTTTCAGCCAAATTGAAATATTCTGTTTGGAAAATCCATTGAAAATTTGAAAGCTGCAAAATCAAAATTGTAATTGCCACAATTATTTTAAAATATTAAATTAAAGAGATATGAGTCTTGCAAATACTTAGCCGTGGTACTACTCTTAATTTTAAGAATAGTGTCTTCATCTTTGGTGGGTTATGATTTGAATGGCCAAACTTACAAGATCAAGCTCTTGTAAGCCATATTTACATTGATCTGGGAAATCATAATAGTATTTTTCCTATACAATTATTGTCTGAAAAGATTTTTTTTCATTGTTTCCAGACAGAGGTGTGTAAGTTTACGAGCCATTAATTCATTCGTGGTGTGTATTTTGTGCAAACTTATACTAACAAATAAAAGATGGACTTTTTATTTACTTTTCAGATAGTGTGAGTTGATAGAAGAATGCTAAATTTGCAATAGTAAATCAAATGACCAGAGTTATAAGAACATTGCAGAAAAATCAGAAAAATTGAATACAGTAATTCCTCCTTTAACACTATAGATGCGTTTCTGAACATGTTTGTGCTAAGCGAAAACGTGCTATGCGGGGTCAATTTTCCCATTAAAAATAATGGAAAAGGTGGGGGTTTCATTTCAGGTTATGGTGGCAAAGTCAGTTTTTTGTTGGTGCTGGGTTGTCAATGTCAACATCAGATATCTTGCGACACAAGATATCTACCAACACAAGTTGCCAAGGTTTGTTAAAACACAAAGATTAACACATAAGTGAGTGGAGGAGTGCTGTGGCCACGTGTATTCATCTACTCATGCGTATTACCATTGTTTTCACCAACTTATACCGCCGCGTGAAGTAGTCCGCCACTTGATTATTTTTGTTTTATTTCGGGGACAGTCATGTTATTTGAAAAAGTTCCCAAAAAATATTGTGCTATTACGAAAACGTGTTAAGCAGGCACGTGTTAAACAAGTAATTATTGTAGTTGACATCGATAGCTTATGCATTATTGATAGGCAGATATACACTCCTGTATTGCTTCATGCATTCGTTAGATGACCAATTTGTAGTTCTATGCAATACATTATTTTAATAAGATCCTAAATGAAACCACTATCTAAAGACAATATGCAGGCACTTCAGGATAAAATGCAGACAGATACCTTTGATAAAGTATTTCTTTTTTTGTGCATTTGTAAACTAATGAATTGTCTACTACTGTAAACTAATGAACTAATTGATGGAAGTTTGTTGCCTAGTTATATGTACGTGTATAGTCTGAAGTGATCTCAGTGTTCATTGGGTCAGATTGTCTATCAGTCAATCTCCTTTAAACTATTCTTTAGCAGCATAAAGAGACAGGAGACAGCAGAAATACTGCCGCCTCTTCATATAGGAATTCTGGTTGACAAAAGTTGCAGGAATGGTTCTAGTAATTCTAGTAATCTTTAAATGGTAAAGTATTTGCAGAGAAAATAATTAGATTAATATAATACACAAAAATTGCAAGCTTTTACATTGAATTACTGAATATTCAGTTACTTATTTTTGTTCTCTTTTATAGTTATTTTTTGCATTCCAAGATGACCGTTACCTTTACATAGTGATGGAATATATGCCCGGTGGGGATCTTGTGAATTTAATGAGCAACTATGATGTTCCTGAGAAATGGGCAAGATTTTATACTGCAGAAGTTGTTCTTGCATTGGATGCAATTCACTCAATGGGCTTTATTCACAGGTGCATATAATTGCTATAGTTAAAATAGATCTCTATTCATCTTTACTTTTTCAGAATGTCTTTTTAAGAATTACTTAATCTGTTTTAAATTTGTTGCTGATGTTATTACTGCATGGCTGTTCCCCATAGACACCTTCAAAATTTCTTTGTGTGAGGAAATGCAAATTGGAGATGATAACTTTCAATGTTAAGATTTTCAGCAATTGACAGTACATCAGTATTCTGTTCTCTGTCTGAGTTTGGGTTTTCTAGGATTTGCCCACTTTACAGGAAATAGAAACAAAACCAAAATGGATCTAGTAAACTTTCCCAAGACTTGTTACTAAAATTTTTAGTTTGGTAGAGAAACTACATGATTTAGTAACTAGATAATAATAGCATTTGGTAGTGTCTACTACTAGGTATTACTAGTTATTGGAAGTATTGGAATAGAGCCTAGTGATCAGGGCTCCATAGGGCTAATTACTGTGCATGCAGCTAGTAAGAGAAAGTTTCTGTGACAGTTTTGCTCACAATTTAGAGGAACAAGAAAACCAAAGGGTAAGAGGGGAAACCGTCAGAGATGGATAGTGTCTTATTGTAGGTTGCATAGCAGATCTAACTGGAATAGAAATTGGCCTGGAACTTGGGTTATCAGTACCCTAATCCACTGGATGAAGCTGCAATATTTGCATTAGACTATAATTCTAATGACATCCAATCAGTCTTACCAGTCCTCGGATTATAAAGGATTGAACAAATCTCAGGATTGGGTACAATCTTTCTGTATTTGTTCTGGGAAGTAAGCGACTAGTGGAGTGACTACTTGACTACTCGCTCTCCCCCTCCTCCCCTCTCTTGCTGCCTCTGTATTAGAGGCAGCAGCGGGGAGGAGAAACAGGAGCCGGTGTTGATTGGGGGTGGGGGGGCGGAAAGCGGGTTTAAAAGACAGTTCCCCTGCACATCTGGCTTCTTCTATAATTCAACTGAAGAGCTACAGTGGGAATAGCTCCTGGACCTGACGCAAGCCTTATCGACTAATGGTGTAGTCGATACAAATTGTATCGACTACATGATTATACAGTTACCCGCTTCTTAATATCCTTAATTTGTTCTACTTCAATAAATGTAATTTAGTTTTGTCTCCAAACTAAATTAAATTGAGGTATATTAGTAAGTAAAGTAGCTCTTTCAGCCTCTTGCTAATAAGGTAACACTGAAAGAGCACGTCAGAGAAAGGAATAATACTACTTGCAACTACAGCAATCATTTTTCAATTCCTTAGACATGCATTTCTGTCTGTGCATGTTAGTTGATTCACAGGAACAAAAAAATAACATGTACCACACTTCCATTCATAGTCTCCATCTCAGATTTTTTTTTAATTCATCCCTTCTTATTTGTAAAAGCAGAGTGCCTAGATAGAATACACCAATTTTAATGGCCTTTTACTTAATCCATGGTTGATTATGGATTGGCTATATAAAGAATGGGAGGCTTGTTTTAGTAAATGACATATATTGATATCTGCTTAATACCCATGAATGTGGCTACAGAATCTGTGTCCCCACAGGATTTTATATATAATCCATATTTTTCATTTTTTGTGTGTTTAAAAACAGCAGAATATTACAGTTCTAATTTACTGTACTATTAATCCAAATACAAGTTTCAGTAAAACCTCAAAACCACTAAACAAAGGAACATTTGACTATTTGCTTTGGTTGAAAAGAAAATGATCTAACATACAAATTTTCTGTTGTACAATGAAACAACATAAATTAATCAAATTATTTTGAATTAAATATGTATAATTCATTGCATTGTGAGGGGTCCAAAATACTTTGCACACTGTATACATTTAAGAATTACCTACTCATAACTGGAATAAGAATGCCTGGTGTAGAATAAAATAGGTATTTTGTGGTTAGAATTTGTGTAAAGTTTTTTGTTTTTTTTATTATTAATTATGAACTCAAGAATAACTGCTCCAACTGAGAATATAAGGGTAATTTTAACTTAGGACAAAGTAAATATCCTATTTGCAGTTTGGCCTTGTGGTCAGGATTGATACTTTAACAAAAAGAACTACTGTAAGAGTCAGATGTTTGGTAGAATTAATATTATACATAATTAATGATTAGCCATATCAAACACAATGAAAACCAGTTCCCATTATATGAAAGTGCATGTGTATTGCCAAAGTTAAAAGTAAAGTTAAATCACTGAGGAAGTGGCTAATAGCATTCATAGGTAGGTTGTTGAATTTACATATTTGTTTTTTTATTAGACTCTTTTTTTCTTCTTTTGGATTTCTTTATTTAAATTTAGGAAGTGAATAGACAAGAAAGTGGGAAAAGTAATCTTTCTGTTCTAAACAATGAACAAAAACCAGATAGCAACTGAAGAGTCTGTTCTAGAGAATGTCCTAGATTTAATGAATTTTATATAAGTATAATCTAATACTAGTTGTGTGCGTGTTTCACATATACTTAAGTTTGAAACCTGTGTCCTGAATGTATTATGGCTCCAACTGAAGATGTAAAGACTGGGACATCCCCAGCATTCCCTTCTTGCCACTTGTGGCTGCAAGTCAGAGTGTGCAGCATCCAAACTTCTCCACACACAAATGGTATATTGTTTATGTAAATAAGTGTGCTGAGATTAATCCAGTGCACAAGGACTTTCTCATAAGGAAGGTAATTGAGGCGCTTGAGTTTCTGTAATACAGAGACTCTTGAACTGAACCTGTATCTGAGTCTCAGCTCAGTGTCTTAATTAGAAGACCATGCTTTTACTGATAATGGAAATTTGGGGTGTGGTAGTTGTTTGAGAATTTGAAAAATTGGAGAGGGACAAAAGGAACACTTGCGTTTCTTTTTAAAAATATCTTTTTTTGCTGCTTTAAGTGTCTTAATCTCTCCTTGTCATGTTATGTCAGAAAAATAGCAGTCTCTTGGTAAGTGTAGCTAATTTGTATTTTAATTAATAAACTGATTTTTTTCAGAGATGTGAAGCCTGATAATATGCTGCTGGATAAAGCTGGCCATTTAAAACTAGCAGATTTTGGTACTTGTATGAAGATGAATAAGGTTGGTATATTTAAATCTTAAATCAGTACTGCTATTTGAAGGGAGGATCCAGTGATAGTGTTCTTTGGGATGCTGTTTGCTATAGATTGATTAACATGTTGGTGCTTAGCACTGTTGTGTTTGAGCTAGGGATGTTAGCTATTAGGTAACTGAATAGTCGTGTAACCACATGAAATTTTAGCAGTTACACGACTATTCAGTAGTTCCCGAGGGTGGGGCCAGCAACCCCTTCTATCCCACGCTGCTGCTGCTCGATCAGAGGAAGCGGTGCAAACTGACAGGGGGAGCCAGACTGTGAGGAGAGCCAGTTTAAAAACTCTGTTTTAACAGCAGCTCCCCAGGGATAGATGCAACAGGTCGGAGGGTCAGCTCCTCCCAGCTCCTGATCCCCTCCTTGCTGCCTCCGATACAGATGCAGGGAGAGCTGAGTGTGCATGCAGTCTACAACAGTGGATCCCAACCTTTTTTATGTCACGGACCAGCAAACCCACTCACAAACATTTGGTGGACCAGTGACATTTTATTTGCACATTTTCATTATGCAAATTATGAATATGCAAATACAAATAAAATGTTCCCGTTCTGCCTAACCCTAACCCAGCTCCTTGCTCCCCAGTGCCTAACACCTTTTGACCCCCACTCCTATATCCCATGCTCTTAGACCCTTTAACCTCTGACTTCTACAGCCCATGCCAACACCTTCTTGCCCCATGACCACACCATGCCCTCACCCATCACCCATTTGCCCCCATGTTCACCAGAACAAGGCTTCCCCCTCTAGGGAGTGTGGCCATTACTGCTGTATGGGTAGGGAGAGTGGCCTTTCTCCTTCGCGCCTCCTCCCCCCAGCATGTCTTGCACTCCTATGGGAAGGAGATCACGGAGCCTTGGCTGGCTGACATTATGGGGGGCGGGGAGAGGAGGGAGGGAGAGAGGTAGGCGCCTCCTACTTCGCCACCTTTTGTTGGTGCCTCAGCACCACTGCTGGCAAAAGCAGCTGCGTGGGTGGGGGAGAAGGGGAAGTGGAGTCCTGGAGGAGGTGCCTTCTGCTTTGCTCCCTCCTGCCACCGCCAGCAAAAGTAGCCGCGCAAGCGGGGGGAGTGGCCATTGGAAGTGCACACGCCTCCCTTCTTTTTCGTACACCCTCTCTCTCCAAGTGTCTCTCCCCAAGTGGGGAGGAAGGAGGTGCTTCCTGCTCCGCCTCCTGCTGTTGCTGCCTGAGCCACCATGGTGGCTGGAGGTGAGCTTCTGGGAACAGCTGGCTTGAGCTCAGACAGCGGCTCGGTGATTGGGAACCACTGGTCTACAAGATTCACCGATAAGCCTAGGCTTATTGGTTAATCGTTTAGTTGACTGCACATTGACATTCCTAGTTTGAGCACCTCATGTCTGCTAACAAATTTAGCCTCACAGCATCCCTGTGAATTACAGAGAAATTAATGTATCAGTTTTGCAGATGAGGTATTGAAGTACTAAGAGATTAAGTGCCTTTCAGACACACACAAACATAAAAAGAAATTAAGTGCCCTGGTATTTGCCTTAGTCATAAGAAAATCTTTTTCATATCTAGGTGTGTAATAATTTCCGCAGTGTGTACAATGGAAAATTGTTTGTGTTGTGCTCCATGGTTTCAATTCAAAGAGGGCAAATGACTTATTCTCTATTTGGTGTTGGTTAAAAGGAGACTGCTAAAAGTACTGACACCTCTTAGGTGGTTACCAACTGGGAAAGTACATTTAAAAAAAAAAAAACACCTCCAAGAACTTGGGGAAAAAGGGGATGCAACTCTCTCAAAGTACTGCTTTTTCAAATGGTGAGAATGTAAAATGCCTTTGTTGTAGGTTTTTGTTTTTTCTTTTCCTTCCTCTCTCTACTTCTCTCATTGATCTAGACTTGAAGAGTGAGCTTCTTGTTTCATTTGTTTTAGGGGACTTAAGTTATTTAGCAGTGGTAAAAGGGGAAAATAAAAATAAGAATGTTAGAGAAAGGAGACTCTTATCTCCCCCTGAAGACAATACTCTTAATATTATTGTTCTTTCTGTAAGGATGAACAGGGGAGGAGTCCCTATCCTCCCAAGTTCCTGAACTTTTTTCTTAGCTCTGGTGCATGAGCGTTCGGATTTAGCACAGAGCACCAGCGCCTTGGTGTGCAGTGCCCCAGCACTACCAGCATCACCCACCAGCTCCATACAAGCCTAGGCAAGGTCAGGGCAGGCCTTCTGGAGACAGGCCCAGGATGACAACATCTCCAGCTGTTGTTAAGCAGAGATCTCAGGTTTCTTCAGAGTTTGGGTCCCCCCCTCGCTCCCCGGCCCGATGTCAGAGTGGCATTCAACAGCTCCGGATGCCATCGACGCCAGAGGCTTTGCAGGTAACTCAGAACATCTTGTCTATGCCAGTGCCACTCTCACCTGTAGTTACAGGGACCACGCAACAAGGAAAAGCCAGCTACGGCACCTCCCCGGTCTCTGTAGAGGCACTGTTCCCTCTCTGGTGGAATGTCAAAAGACTCACCTCCCTGAAGCCTGGCCCAGTCCCCGGTGGGGCCCAGGGCCACTGACAGCAGTCGGAACTTTGGCGCAGATCTTTTGGGGCATGTACCTCCTGCTATGGACATTATGCTTGGCCCTGGTATTCCACATGGTCCGCATCCTGTTCGAGGGACAGGTCCCTGGCACTGCATCGCTCACCACGCCAGTACCTTTCCTTGGCTCGCAACTCCCCACAGCGTGTCCATGAGCTGGGAAAGGGCTGGTGATCCTGCTCGACTTTGCAGCGTGTTTTGGTTCATTGGCATTTGTCTTGCAGCCACTCCTGAGAATGCCGGCCACGATCACCCAGACTGCAGATCTCATAGTGGACAACGCTTGCAGGAGGATCGTTTCTGGTGGTCCTCCATGTCCCGAGCATTTGTGTCACTGACGAATGTATAGTGCCACACTGATGCCAGCCCTTGTTCCTGGTCCCCCAGCACGGCGCACTCCAGGCTGGCCTTATATCAAGCCTTAGTACCCCCAGTACAAGCTCCTCCTCTGATGCCTCCAGTACCACAGATGGAACTCCAGTTGGTGTAATGGCTGCAGGTATTGCAGCCTCAGTGGTACCGCTGAAACCTATGCGAGTTCTTTGTACTGTCCCAGGTATTGCACTCAGTAGCTGGTAAGCTAAAGGAACCATCGGCCAACTCCACCTCTATTAAACACCTCCAAGCTTCCAAGGCTCCCAGCCCGCAGGAGGAGAAGAAGGTTGAGACACAGGCTCTGGCCTTCCTCTGGCCTTGAGGAGGTTCCCCCAGTGCAAGCATCTTCATCATCTCCAGATCTGGTCATCATGGGACCCCCCGATGATGCGTGGTCCCACTAGGATTTCTTCAGGTGGGTAGCCACCAGGTTGAACCTCCAAGTGGAGGAACTTATGAGCCAGAGGATACCCTCTTTGGGGGTATTAATACAGTCAGCCCAGCCAGGGTGTCCTTATCCTTCATGACAGTGACCAAGATCATCACAGCCTTGTAATAAATGCCCTCCTCCATTCCCCCTACCTCCAAAAGGGCAGAAAGAAAGTACTTTGTCCCGGAGAAGGGACATGAATATCTTTACTCCCCTCCAGCTCCCAACTCCCTGGTGATGGAAGCCATTAACCACTGAGGTGACCCTGAAAAATAAAGACTTAAAGAGACTGTATTTATTAGGACAAAAGTTTTATTCGTTCTCCAGCTTATAGCTCTGGGTGGCATATTACTAAGCCTTCATGGCCTGCTACGGGATAAATCATGAAGTTCGAGTCCTCTCGTTTGGATGTCTTGAAGGAGTTTCAGGTCTCGTCAGAGGGGGCAACGGCTGCTTGAGCAGCACTCCAGGCTGCCTCAGATGTGGCAAATGTGGCAGCTTGCTCCAAAGCATTGCCCATATTTATGCAGAGAATGTCATGGATGCCTCTCACTATCCTCTCCCCCAAGACACAGCAATCTGTGCAGGAGCTCCCCTTTGAAGAGTGGCTCCATTTTGCAGAGCAGAAGGATAGTAAACTGCACAGGCACCATCCTCCACACCCTTGGCTCACATTTCCCAGGACTGTCATGTAACTAATTCAGGCCTCAGACCCCGTCTGCTCAGCCTTTCTAGCCTTGCCAGGAGTTGGGGCAGAGCTAATATAAAGGGTTTAGAAAGAAACAGTCCCAGTCTCGTTCTTCCACGCAACCTGGCTCCTCCTATTGTAAGGTCATTTCCAAGTGCCTCTTTTGAGGATATGAGAGAGGATGACATACCTCTTAGACTGCCTTCTGGATCCTTATCTTGAGACCTTTTCACACTGTCTGCACCCTTTCCTCCCAACTTGGTGTTCTATAAGCACAGAGACAGTGTCCTCAGCATGGTGCAGCAGAGTTATACCCTCCAACTCTCCTCTACTCCATCCCCATCCCTCTTCAGGGACCCTTTTCACAACACGCACCTTCTGTATGAAGTCAGGGGCAGTGGAGGCACCCAGACTGGGGGAGGTGGAGGAGATTTTGCATTGCTACCAGAGCCAAAGGTTTAATTCCCACTACTTTCTGATCCTTAAGGCCAACAAGGGGCTCTGGCCCATTCTGGGCCTGTACAGCCTGAACCATTGCCTGGAGAGTCTCAAGTTCCCCATGGTATACCTGGCTGCTATCATTCCTTCCCTGGATTTGGAAGATTGGTATATTGCCCTTGATCTCAAGGATGCTTACCTTCCACATTTGCCATTTTCGAGGGTCACAGATGTTTTCTATGTTTCGTGGTGGAAGCGAACCACTACCAGTTTGTTGTTCCCCCATTTGGCTTTGCCACAATCCCTCAGGTTTCTACTAAATGTATGTCAGTGGTGGCCATCTACCTCAGGCAACAAGGGGTGCAGATTTATCCTTACCTGGATGATTGGCTCATCAAGTGCGACTCCTGTTCCAAGGTCCATTTGCATGTAGATCTTCTGTTCTGCCTATGCCACTGTCTCAGCCTGTTTATGAATGCAGAAAA